ATGAAGTGATAAAAAAATTTGTAGATATACTGCAAAATAGAGTTATTCAACCTAAAATTATATCTTGTAGATCACTTATCATGATTATTCTAGACGCAGATGGGACGTGATGATTATATGTTAACTATCCTTCTTTTAATAAATTAACTATAAAGAACCATCATCAATTATCGGAGATCGATAACCAATTGTATCAAATGAAGCCTGCAAACATATTTACAAAGTTGGATCCCAAACCTAATTTTTTTTAGGCTCACATTAAAGGGATTGACACATGAAAGGTAGATTTTAAAATTGGATATGGTTAGTATGAGTGGCTGGTTATGCTGTTAGAACTTTGAAATGCTCTGGCTACATTTCTAAGGCTGATGAATGATGCTTTTTAACCATACCTTATGTTTTATTAGCATCTTTTGATGTTCTAGCCTATAAAAGAACATGAAAAAAGGACCTAGAGTATTTGAGCGAGGAATTCCATCTTTCTATAATAACACGAGCTCAATCTCATCCAAATTAAGCTTCAATTAATAAAAAAGGCTCTCCTCAACTTCAGAGTATAAGTGAGAAATGAAAATATCAACAATGATCTTGAAAAGGATCTAAGCAATCAAGTGATCAAAGTCACAAACATTGATTAATGTAAAGAGTTCCTCGGGATCATCTGCGTTTTTTTACTTGCTTCTCCTTTACATGCTTTGATCAAGGTCAGTACCAAATATGAATGGAGCTAAAAGCAAGAGGATTTTTTTTGTATGTTGAGGAAGATAAGCATTGCTCCTTATGTTGCCCTGCATTTATAGCAATTTTTTTAACTTGAGACAAATGCTAGTGGATACGTAATATGGGCAATACTATTGTAGGATGGGAGACCTATTGCTTATCACTCTGAGATGCTCTAAAGAACTTGTTAGAAGAATTATCCCATATGGAAAAAAGAACTATTTAGCCTGCACTTCAAAATAAAATATGGGCTTGCTTACCATTTTGAAATTTAGGTTTTGATACATATGGACCACATAACACATTAATATCCACAGATTTTCGTCATATGAAATACGTGGATTACGCTAGCAATTTTACTTGGTCTTAAAATACAGTTAGCCTCCCAATAAAATGGTCAACATGCTCTCTTGGCCACCTTTAACACTTTCATGGTAAAGTGTTATCATTCATTTTGAATTCTATAAAGAAAGATTTTTGGGAGCTATTGGAAGAATCTGTTCAAATGGATGTTGGATGACTCAGAGAAGGCAACATATTTGGAGTTTTTTTTTTTAGATGACCTTCGGGCATCTGCGCATGTTAGTTATTGTGTGCCCAATTCACTGGGTGCAGAGACATATATTGTAATCGGTTGGGAACTTTGAAGTGGAGACGGCTTTTATTGAGCTTGCAACAATATGTGTACTAGCCAAACATGTAATAGGTAGTGATTAAATTTATTAGAGAATGTGTACTTTGTAGCACCTCAAAACGTACAAACAATAAATTAGGATTGTACACCCCTCAACATGTACCATGCCACTTGTGGGAATGAATATTTGAACTTTTTAGGAGTTTTGCCAAAATACAAAGACAGGCTTATGCGATATTTGAGAAATTTTCAAAATAGATTATTTGAATCCACTGTAAGAAAACAATAACATGTGATGAGGTGGCTAGACATTTCTTCTAACATGCATGAACTTTCTTTTGATTACCGTATTCAATCATATTTGATTGAGATAGGTTATTTGGGTATGACTTATGGCCCATTAAGGATAACCGTCTGAAAAGGAGCAACATATTTTATGCTTGTGGTGTATTTATTAAGAGGGACAATAAGAAGTATACCAAAACTTGGGAAGTTAGTCTATTGTGAGGGCATTTGCAAATTCATATGTTTGTGGAGTAGTGATTGCAAAAGTCTCAACATAAGTATAATGAAACTTATGATCATCATTGTGTCAAGTTCAACTTTCAAGTAGGATATATCGTTTTGTAACATTTTAGAAATGACCGCTTTAAAGGATAAAAAAAGAAGTTGAAGTCAGTAAGGTATTTGACCTTTTAAATTTCTCATGAATATTGAAGACCAAGTTAGTCTGGTGGAAGTACCCATCATATATGGAGATGTATTTAGTGTAAATGTGGAGAATATGAAGCTCTTTGAACCTTCCATAATTGTTGCTATGGATTACTCTTATGATGGGAAGTACCTTCAGAATTTGACATTATTTTGAAGAAATAAGACTACCGGTAGGAAAGAGTAGTACCACAATTAGACATGAACCAAAAGGAGACTACTGGTAGGAAAGGGTAGTTACCATGGAAAGTAAAATGAGCTCCCAAAAAAGGAGACTACCGGTAGGAAAGAGTAGTACCACAATTAGACATGAACCAAAAGGAGACTACTGGTAGGCAAGGGTAGTTACCATGGAAAGTCAAATGAGCACCGAAAAAATTGGGCATGCAGCTCTCCCTTATCTGAAGCAAAATATTAATAGGAATGAAATTTTATTAAATAGCTGATATGTGATATGGCGATCAAATCCAGAAATGATTGGTGATCAATCAGATCACCTATAGTTACAATGAGCATTAGGTTATGAAAAGATTAAATAAATAATGTTTGTTGACTTTCTAATGATTTAATTTCTTTATAAAATTTGCTGACTATACTGTTTGATCTGATTGTTGAGATCGAAGGTGATGTCATTAGAAGTCCTTCGATGTGATTGGGATCATCATTCTATATTATACAAGAAAGGTCAAGGTTTTGAAACATATATTATTTGAATAAGTCTGTATCTGAATTCATATTCAGATTATGATAATTTATGCAAGAATAATAATTAAATTTGAATTTATCTTACTGATTATTTGAAAATAAGTTTTTTCAGTTTTTTCTTTGTGGAGTTTGGTTAGGAAGCTGATTAGATTAATTTCGATGTAATTGCATTTATGTAGGTCTGAAATTTTGGAAAGAGAGCAAACATATTTCTTCCTAGTTTGTTTCTCTTTTTCTTTTACTATTCTCCACATGAATCCCCTTTAGCAGTTGCTGCAATTACAGCTTCTTATAGCAGAAATCGGAGGTTTAAAGGCACATTCTCTTTTCCTTTTCCTTGTATTTGCTTGTTGCTGCTACCTTGTAATTGCTTTCTGCTGCTGCCTTGCATTTCCACCGTCTGAAGTTTGTTTGTTGACGTTGTGTTGCTGTTGCGAACTATAGTATTGTGGCAACACTTTATAAAGGGTAAACAATGATTGATTTGTTTTTCGGAAACAAAATAATAAAAGAAATAATAAAAAAATGGTTGGTTTATGGATCCCTGTCAGCTCCCTTATAGTTGTCACCCTTCGATAGTTACCCATAGTCCCTACTTACATGAAACAATAACTATAGAAATCATGGTATTCGTTAGTAACATAACAAAATATTGAATAACATGGCATATAGGTATTGAGAACATGTAGCAATCAGGTTCGCTGATATGGAACAATTTTATTAAACAATAGCCTTTGTTGCTGAGCTAGCAAAAGAGATAGGGTGGTGTTAATATGATTATCATCGAAAGAATCATTTTCCTGGCTATGACTTTCCTCTGAATCCATTCCTTGAGACCCTCCAATTCCCTGTTTAGAGTTGGCGCCCTCATTATGTCAACAACTACATTCCATGTTTGTGGTTTCACTTGGACCCTTAAACCTCTTGCAATATATTTCAGTATTTATTCTTTAAGCTATGTTAAGTTATATATTTCATGCATTCAATAAAAAGTGCTTGCCAATGCTATTTTGATGATAACATGAAACTTGAAAGCCAACTACGAGGGGTGATAATAAATGAAATAAAAAAATTAAAGGTTCATAACTTTCACTTGATGTGTAGGCACAAATGGCTTGCTTTGGTCCTTGGTCTTGACTCATCGCTCTTAATTGTTGCAAAGTCTCCGCCCAATACCATGCTATATTACTCTTTCTTAGCAGGTATTGAATCCACTCTTGTAGAGGCTGGAAGGAAATGGACATTGACGTGTTTAGTCTAAGTAAAGATATTATCTCCCTTTGCATATATTTTCCAATGCACTACTTCATACTCATACACTTATTGCTAATTCTCTCTATATCATTGGATTGCATAGTTGCCCCAGTTCCTTGTTTGAAGAAACTCTCCCACTGAATTGGTCTTTTTTCACGAAAAGCAAATATGAGATAACAAATCAAGTCTTTCACTAAGATTTCGAATAGCTGTCCCGAATTCAAGTTGATTATGTTTCGAAAGACGATCAAACAAACAATTCCCAATCATGGTCCTTGTGGATCGGATCATCCATATAGAATAAAAAAAAAAAAGAAACTCCAGATATTTGCTATCTTTCTCTTTGAATGAGATCTCAATTCCAGCTACGATTTCAATAGATATCTGACAACTAGAATCCCTTTTTTTTCTGATCCGGTTCCTCCACCACCGCGAACCTTGGTTAGGTTCAGGCATGATATGCTTTTTCCTTATTGGGATAAACCAGGCACTCTCTTGCGGATTCATGAACTTTATTGCTAATTCTCTCTATGTCCACCTATCATGACCATTGGTTTGTCATACATTCTCTGCTAAGGGCCACTGATGTGTCAAAGAGGTTGTCGAGACACAAATCATAGACCAATCTATCACTAGGGAATTTCTAGCGAGTTGTCAAAACAAGTTACCTTTGGGCTAACTTTATTTTCCGCTCTACTTCTCTTAAGCAGAGTTGTTGGCCCAACCTGTCTGTCCCCCCTTGTTCTGTCGGATCTTATTTTCCAGGTCAATTGTAAGCTCATTGAGCCCTTAGGTGTGGTTCATGATTCATTTCAATGTCATCCAAAGGTGCGACTGTCATTCAATTTCATCTGTTTTCTTGTTCTTAAAGTACGAAAATCTTAAAGTAAAAATTCGGGGTTGTTGCAGCCTCTCCTACCATGCCTTCCATTTGAACTTGTTCATTTTTATTGATATATCTGCCATTTACATGCAGTTGTTAGCAGCTATTGTTGGATCTCAGAAGATTTCTGTACCTATGACAATAGTGGGATCCGGTATTGCAAAGATGTTTGTTGGGGAGCTGGTGGAGACAGGCAAGTGACGATCTCAAGTTTCTTTTTTTCTTTCATTTTAATTGATTTACATAAAAGTTACTGCACCATTAACGATCGATTACCGTGACTCTATGTTCTAAAAGTTGGACTTTTTCTACTCCTAGTATTACATTTCATGGTCTCCTGCACTACTGCAGGAGACTAGGGGTGTAAACGAGCCGAACAGGAGCTCGAGCTCAAAAAGTGTGTTTGCGTTTGGCTCGTTTGCTTAACGAGCCGAACACGAGCTGTTCACGAACAAAGAGTCCTTTTAACAACCCTAATCATGTAGCCATAAGACAATAAGGGTTTGAGCAAGATTAAAAAATTATTATTTATATTAAAATATCATTTGAATCTAATTTAATAATTTTTATTCTATTTTCTAATCAATATTTTAATTGGTTATAAATTTAGTATATATATATATATATATATATATATATATGTGT